AAACATGTTTTCTAGAAGTGTGGTTCCAGTGTATTATAATGACACAGAGACATGAAATCATACCCCTATGCACACACATCCCAAAAGATTTTATGCACCAGCGGGAGCATATACCATCCATTTACTCCCTCAGGTAAAATGCAATCTAAGAGTAATTTTAGGATCCCAAATTTTGGAGATGTAACGTCACATCAATTGATAGACTAACTTCAAAGAAGAGAAGTTCCAAATCGCACTCTCCATGCACATAAAAAAACAAAAAACAAAAATCTCAAGAATGAAGAGACTGCCCAATTTTTTGAGGGTGAGATCTAAGTGTTAGAAAACTTCAAATTCAGATGTTCTCTTTTGAAAATAATCATCTAGATTAATGAGCATACTGCAACATGAGGCATTTTCATACTCCCATTAAAGAGACGTATTCGAAAATGAGCTTTTTAATACTACGACCTCCTATAACCGGATGAGAGACTGCATTATCATGCTTGAGATGGAAACTGGTTCCACCCTAGCAACTCATGTAGATATTGCAAACTCGTTATTCCATTATCAAGACCTTCTAAATCCCGTAAATCCAACCCCTTCCTTTAACACTAGCAATCACTTCACTTTCCAAATCTCCTACTCCTACCCAATAGCTCCCCTTCCACACCACCACCCTCCCCCGCCCCCCACTTTCCCCCCAAAAAAAAAAAAACAAAAAAACAAAACAGGATCTCCTGATCCCACCCCTCTCCATCATGCACCCATGCTACCTCTGGGCCAACTTCGCTCCCGACCTTTTTACAGTCTTGGAGATCAACTGATCTCTGTACACTATAATGTTTTTCCCATAAAGCTAGTGTTTGGAAAATGTGGATGAGGTGAAAGAGGGAGTCTTTCGTATCTCATTTGGCAATGCACCAGTCCACATGCCCACCCAACCTCATTCTGTCAGCATTATGGAAGATTGTGGGTGGCAATGTCGTCATGGCCATGCAAGATTTCTACAGGTTAGGCAAGATATTTTGCTATATTAAATATTCTTTCATCCACCTTATATCTGAAATGGCTGATCCATCTCAAGAAGCTAATTTTTCAAGCCTCCACAACATCTGAAATCAGTTCCTTAGTAAAGTCATGGTTCAGAAATCGGTATCTATCCTTACTAAGATCATTACCGGCTTAGAGTGGTGCAGATGACAAAATAAACCTTATGAAAACTTGATGCAAACTTTGCTTATTCTCTGACTCCCCCAATGTCTGAGTTAAAATAGATCAGAAGGGAAACCACGGACCAATCCTCCCAACCTTCCACTGTCCATGTTTCAATTCAAAAATTCACATTTTACAAGAAAAAGATTTATGGGTTGGTGCTTGTATGTCCTCTACTTCTTCGACACTTGTCATAAGTAGATACTCTTAAGTGTTTCTTTCCACACACTCACGGCCTTCACCAAGAGGCCTGTCTCACTTCCTTTTCACCCATGTCACTGAGGACTTAGATGTAAGCTCTGACCCCTTTCCCTTGCCTTTTCACTGAAGTCCTTTAGATGTAAGCCATCTGATTCAATTCGCTTTTGCTCTATTTACCTTGTCCTTCCGCCTTGTCTTTCCCGTCGCCAACTTGCTTTATACTGATTTTATTATTCTCTCATGCAACTTGCCCATAATCTTCATTAGTTTGAACTAGGTCCCCAGCCAATTCTATAAACGATAAAAAGGGCTGTGTTTTTCTTTCCCAATTTTGTATCTTATGGCAAGATGGGCATCCTAAGCTTCCTTGGTCTTTTCAAGGGTGCCTTCCCGTCCATATAACTAGGTCTGCATACTTTTGTTGGGTATTCTAGGCATCCCATGTGCAGTATTGGACCCCAGCTTTCCTTCAACCTTTGAGTACTAGACCTCTAACTTTTGATGTCCACACCAAATTTACTAATGGATCATCACTATATCGTAGCTTCTTTTCATTCAACTTCCCAGAATGAAAATTTGTATCAAGAATCCCATCATTAGATCCCTTTCTATTGAAGGATCCCCAGCCAGTCCCATAAATCATAAGGTTTGTACTGTCCTCTCCCAGTTTGTATCTTATGGCAAGATTCAAATCCTAAGCCTCCTTGGTCTTTTCAATGGTGTCTTCCTCTCCATATAACTCTGTGTGCCTATTTGTACGGACTTCCTGGCAACCCACGTGCTGGAGACACAGCTTTCCTTCAATCTTCACCCAAACTTACTTGATCTAACCTTAATGGATCACCAGTATAATCGCTTGTTTTCATCTACCTCCCACATAAGACCAAACTGTATCAAAAACTCATCATAAGAGACTTCCTATTGAAGGGTCTCCAATGTGAAAAACCTACCCCACCGGTCAAGTAGGCACCTTTCAAGGAAGGTGGACTTAGTGCTGAAAAATTGGACATCAATATCTTGAGCAACTTCTTGTACATTCTGAGTGAACTCTTCTCCTTTGGGGACAATATTACAAGCTTGGTATCACAACAACTCCTTTAACAACCTCGGAGATGGAAAGGGGATGCCATGAATTTTGCAATCCTCCAATCAGGACCGTGATACAAGCTTGGCAGGCAGTTTTCTCCTACTCATTTTTTGATACAACACTCGGCTCTTGTATAGTATACAGTAGCTTATGGATTATTGTTCCTTTCTTCTCATTTATTCTATCTAGAGCCACAAAAGTCATTTATTTATTTGAACCGCTCATCTCTAGTTCGGACGCTATTAATGAACTGTAACCATAACGAGTGTATGGGATTTGATTGACTCAAAATATTTTGGTTTGTACAAAATGGGTCTGAAAAAATATTTGAAAACAAGCATTAGGAAGTAGGAACAGTCCCATATTGGTAAACAGCAAAGAAGCTCTTGGGGATTAAAATTTTAGATAGTATTTGTCATTGTTTAGACACCTGGGGGACTCTAAGAGAGAGAGAGAGAGAGACAGAGAGAGAGAGAGAGAGGGAAATTCGGGGCTTTCTCAGGTGCTTCAAACTCTTTAGTTCGTTTCACACAAACAAGTATGCATGTGCCCATAGCGTGGGGCTCAGGCTCTACAGCACCCTTAAAAATGAGATGTTTGGTCACTCCCAGTTTTCTAAAAACCCACAAAGTAAAAATTCGAAAAATAAATGTTTGAAATGTAACTGCGATCCTTGGGAAAGACCAAGGAGCCCACTAAGTAAGCTTGCTTGAATTGATGAACCCACAAACCACGTTCATTCTCTTCTCAACATAAGGAATGGCTCAAAAGTTAGTAGTCCTACGATTCTTGGTTTCATGCTACCTGTGAGCAGAGTTATCCTTTGCTCGACAAGGATAGAGTTGGTGTGAGCAGTTCTTGGTCATATATTTGGTCCATCCAAGTGCGACCCTTCTTTTAAGAAACTCTCCGAGAAGATCCAATCTCTTCAAAGGGAACGAACCATCTCCCTTGGCATAAACTACACTAGTGATAGATTCAATAGCCAAATTTTTTTCCCCTACAAGTGATTAAAATCTTCTGGAAGAGCATCATGAAGGGGGGTCGTAATTGCATTTTAAACCTTTTCTTTCCAAAGTTTTACTTTGTGAGTTTTTAAAAGCCCAAAGTGACCAAACTATTGGTTTTTTTTAGGGCCTCTACAAGCTCAAGCTCAAGCCAGACCAGGCCGTGCAGTGGCCATGATCATGCAGTTTTATTATAATCATAAGCTTATATGCTCATCTATATCACCTTGCACAACAAAAAATCTGCCCCAAAATTCTACGTTAGGTATGCAATAAGGCTTGCTGCTAGAAGTTGTCTTTTCAGGAATAATAGTGAAAGCCAATAAGTTGATAACAGATCCTCTGAAAATGTCTCTTCTATAAACCATTGGAATGTAGATTAGTCATCATTCACTTCCACCTTGTTTGAGCCTAGGGACATAATCTACCTTGCTATGAAATGGTTCAAAAAGAGGTTCAGGTCCAAGACCTTATCAGCACATTGAAGCAAGAGTTAATTCATCTCCCATGGAAACATGGTTGGAAAGAAATGAGCCATTAACTGCAATGTTGCTCACCATGCCACTACATCAGCGACATCCACAATCCAGTTTGCTCTTAGGTATGAACTTGACAATCGTCCCCTATTTTTTTTCTTTGATAATGTTAACTTTCTGATAATTGTCTGCGTTCCATTATACTCCTAGACGTGCTGTTTCACACTAGAAAATTTATTCGGGATATGACATACAAAAAGAGAATAAAGCACTCAGTGAAGCAAAAAGTGATTTCTCCAAAATACTCATGGCCTCGAAATAATCCATAAAGAACTGGCCCCTGGATTTCTGATATATTTCATTTTACAATCACCTGACGGCTGATGGAAAACAGAGATATAAAATCAAAAGGAATATAAGAACATAGACTTCAAGCTATATAAGCAAATGTGTCCTGCTTCTAACTTGCATTGACTAGCATATTACAACATAAATTGGCTCACAAACAACCACATCATCGTAATTCCATTTCTGATTTCTCATGATAGTAATTGTAGTGTAAAATTATTCCTAACATGCCTATAAAGACATCAGATTAACTAAAGTACAAACAGTGGCACCACCAACAAGCTTAGTTAATAGACAGACAATGTAAGATGCAAGTAATGATCAGAATCCAACAACCATTTTTAGCTATGATCAAGACAACAAAAAGAATTTACTAAAGAGGAAAAGGTTGCATCAATGGATTAGGAGGCGAAACTAGATGTAAGTGGGACTGCAATAAGGAGCTTTCTTAGAAGTTGTCAGATATTTTTATAAGGTGAAAAACACAGTTGTCTCTACAAGTTGTGCAAAAAAATGGCCCATAATTCTAAGGAGTCCAAGAGAAATCCATAGTGACAATTGCAACATTTTCACCAATTACAAGAACCAATGCATAAGTGATGAAGATGAAGATCCAAATACAACAGAACCAAAAGCCGTGCTCTATCGTAATATCTATTTAAATAGAATGAGTTGAACCAATTTTACCTTTTAATAGCACCATAAGCATGGCTTCCCATTACCAACAAATCTGCATGTAATTTAGTGGTCATTTCACATATAAGCTCCTTTGGATCACCCACAACAACCTTTGTCTCAACATTTACCTGAAACGTGAACCAATTCGATCATCTTAACATCCATAATTCAAAGTATTATACAGCTACATAAACCCATAAATGAAATAAAGACTAAATAACAAATCAAAGCTCAGCTCACATTTTTCCCAGAACATATTCCCACGGCATGAGAAATGATCGCGTTGCTGATACGTTTCTGGTGAGCCTCGATAGCAGCAGCAAAAGCAGGAACTTCAACGTAAGCTAAAAAATAGAAAACAGTATAGAATTAAAAAAAATAAAGAACTAAGTATATACTTTCCATCAACAATAAAAAAGACTGAAATTTTCTACAAAAAATGCAAATAAAGACTCCATTAATTTAGCAGAAGCACAAATCACAATATGTACATGTCCTAGAGAAAAGCAATCACAGAAAAAATCTTAAGAGGAAATAATAGAGAAAAACAACTCATCAAACAGATATATATATACATATATATATATATATATAGAGAGAGAGAGAGAGAGAGAGAGAGAGAGGAGGAGGGAGAGAGAGTAGTAACTAACAAAACTAAAACTAACGTAACAGAGTATAGTAGAATAATAACTAACTAATAATAGTACGTAGT